ATCATATTACGTGATTGTCAAGTCATGACAATGCTTTATGACGATATCCTGAAACTATTATGTTAAAATAGTTACAGTGTTGATTGAGGATTAGCCAGTGGAAAGAAAGATATTTTTGCTTTAGGTAATTCGAAATTATCAGAAATTTGTAGTGTTACAGAATCCGAGACGCCTAATTATATTATAATTTTCAATTCAGAAATACTCGTCTAGTGTTAATTCTAGTAGGCTACGGAGTTTTGATTTTAAACGTTTGTTTAGCCAACAGCTACCTGAGGATTTAGTTATTTTACTAGTGCAGTTGATAGTACCTAAATTTTTAATCTTATTATCTAAACTATGTCCGCATTTTAGGCTGCTAATATGATAAACCAATCCATAAACCCAAATACGATTAGCACTAACAACTATGATGGGTTTATTAATAAATGTTAAAGGCTATCCAAATGATTTCTAAATTTAGAAGACATGGAGATATAGTGTAACGTATGTATGGGCCAGGTTAACATGCAGGTTGTTGACGTATATGACGATTTAAAAATAATGAACATGACCAGAAAATAATTTTAAAGTTTAGACTGCTTGTGAAACTTCAGGCAGCAATATGACGCGTTATAAACATTCCATTAGAAGTTACTGCGTTTAGCCTAGGGACACTTACAAATATATGGCAAAAGCAACTGGAAAACATATACATGTTAAGTAAAAAAATCATTAAGTAAAATAGTTGAACTCGCCTGGGTTATTTTGGAAAATTGGATTATTCAGTGGACGACATATATAACGCCATTCGTGAGGAGTAGTAATGATCCAAAAGTATCCAGAATAAAACATGCAGTATGGCAATTAATTCCAGGGTGCTTGATGCTGTTAAGGTTTTTGCCACACGCTCGGATCAGAACAATCGAAAGAATCCAGATAATTGTGTGGTTGTCATTGAACGAGCCATCTAAAATGACCGTATGATTGCAGAAAACTTATAGCTGAAACTCACCGTATGTTTTTGGAGTAGTCATCCTCGTTGTTTGGCAATGGAACTCGAGAATATGAAATTAGGCAGGCAGTGGTCGGAAGAAAAGATATGACAGGATAGTGCATCGTTTAAAACAGGATGTGTTAAGTGAAGGAACACTGAGAATTAGATCCAGATAACTATTTAGTCCTTGATCGCATTGTTAGTCAATGTATATTTACGCTATTTACAGGTCATATTTGATAGAGCTTGATGTTTAAGCAAGACTATGTCGCTGAAGCATGTAAATGCTATTAAAGCTTGTTAACAAACCATCAAAGCTAATTAGTTAATATAGACGACCAGTTTTTATTATCGATTGAGCTAGTGTGTCATGAGGACTAACCAATATAACATTACGATAATGCATGTGAGCATTAATCAGAAGACTATTAGAATACAGGGTTAACATAAATATAAAACCGATCGAGAAAGTTGAAGTGGAAATAAGAATTAATAAAAATAGGTTGCGTTCCTTTAGTTGGGCTTACCAATGTAGAATTATGGTCTACTATGATATTAGTAGTGCTCTAATAATAGACCTAATCCTAAATTTGTAGATTTGTCATGATATAACTGCCTAATCTATAAGATCTTACGCGGAAGTCACACCATTGACTACACCAACTCACTGTATCGTATCAATTACCAGTACATGATGAAGAACAAGGTTAGGCTAGAGAAAGAACAATATATTTAATATGAATAGAAGATATAAGGTAACATTCCGCAGAGACCACGCCTGCATGGCCGAGTCATGCCACTCGATCAACTCCAGTCCCTTCAATTCATTTTCGCGCTTTTTCCATTGTTAGGTATTTATCCGCGTTAAATATTGAATATCTATTTCCTGAGTAGTCTTGTGTTCAGCTTTGTGGATTGTGCGGTTATTGTTCAATGCCACTACAAATTTAAGTGCTATATTATCGGTAATGATGGAGCTAACGATAGCATCTACATCGATTACCTCAAAGCTGGGTACTTAAAAGGAAATCGTAGTCATATGTATTCTGCTTCGATATAATCGAACGACATGAGTCTCACAACTATGATGCCTGATCCGATAATCAACAATCACGATGAAACGTCATTGGTGCCCAACAACCGACTTAAAAGAACGCGTTTCCGGAACACTATAAATGTCACTGTGCGTAGGACACTGACTAGCATTTTGTTCTATCTCGTTTGTTTGTATTGTTACGCCAAAAGAAACTGAAGACAAACAATACATTATCAGATATCATGATATGTGTATGTATACTTTTAACGAAAAATGTCCAAAAGGAATACATTGTACATATCCACCACTTTATTTTTTTTAGACCATTTGTGTCCTTATGCATGTACGAATGTATTTCGACATGCACTCACAATCTCTTTTTTTCCTGGACGGCTGGAAAAAATAAAAAACCGATGAGAAATGCAATGAACAGAAAATTTCACCGAATAAATCATCTACAAATTTACTTGTATTGCATAAGTATTTAGCACGATCAGAATTCCTACCTAATTATGCCAAGCTTGAATCTGTTACGCGAGATGGACGCTATGCCAGTGCAGCACTAAAACAAAGACCTAGTCACCAACGCTCTGAGACATCTGATTTCAATTATTTAACAACCCTGTTTGGGAAGCATACTGTAAGTGTGAGTACAGCAGTGGGATCTAAAAATTGTTTTTTGGGGTCTAAACGTAAATACATCGCCAGTGTAAAGAAACAAATTATGAAAAAATGCAGCAGACTCATATATGTGCATTTACTAAGTCACTGTTCAGCAAAGAGTCGGAATTAAACTGCTGTCATTTCTAACCCACGAAGATTTCAAATATTTCTAAATATGTAATGCAGTGATTTGACTGAGATACATACACTTTATATAAAAAGTCTTATTTCATCTAAAGCTTTCGGTTATACAGAAAAACTCATTTTGCGGATGCAACAAACTTTAGCGAAGTTGACAATTATTTTATACAGTCGTTCTTAACCGGACTGCTTGCTAACAAGAAAACTTTCCACAAGAATGAGAAATATCAATATTTTCATTTTTCATTTATATATTTTTAAGAGTTAATGGGGCGGAATAAGATACTGAATCAATTACGTCCACAAGAAATTAATTGTGTTAGATATAATAGATAATGTTTAGCAGGTTCATTGTCTTCATTTTAAATTATATTTTTGCCTACTACACACGATATTATGTAATACATATCAGTGTCTCTTACAAACGTTCACTGTGAGTTTTAAGCAACCTGAAATTACATGAAATCACGACACCAAATTGTCAACACAAAAGAGACACTACTGGACAAAGTACAAACAGTGCAGGAGCTATATTGTATAAGTAGTTCTAACAAGCTAGGAACGATTGCTCAAACGCATTAAGTGGAAGTCAATATATTTGTTTTTAATGCGAAATCTTGCTTTACCATGCAAGCTCCTCTTGATAGGGTGGAACCAAAGTCGTTAGGTCCTAAACGCACAAACAACATTGTAGGTAACGCCGTGGTGCTATTGCAAAATACAGTGTTTTAAGCATTCCAACCGTTAAGAAGAACCCATATAGGCAAGGATATAATCTGCAACACAAGAGGAACTTCGGAGATGAACCTGATTAACCCAGTCTACGAAGCATCTTGAATAGGTCTCACATGGCCCAGTAGCAGGAATTCTAGTCTTCCTATTTATAGGAATAACCCTACACAGCAAGTAGGCTCTGTGATATTAAATTTTGACAAAGATACTAAGTTTCGGAGAGAATTTGACAACAAAGACGATGAGCGAGCACTTAAGGAAAAGTTTAATCAACTTTAAGGCAGCAATGGATTGCTTTTAACTCTTAAGCGTACAAAGTAGTTCATCTGCAAGATACTACAAACCAAATGTGTATTTTTCCCCTAGAAGTGCTACCATGTGTTGAAGATGTGTTATTGGTACCCAATAGTAAAAAAATCTTATGCTGTGATAAGAGTGCGTCTCGAGCAAACTTGGCACTAGTAACGCTGAGGCATGTTTTTGGTCATGTTAATAAAAGAACTGTCCACTTAATAGTTAACACTATGGAGATTCGGCTCTTCCTAAACCATATTACGTTAAGGGCGCTATAGGTATTCGGAGTTTGATAACACATTCAAAGTATGCCAAACCAGTCAAATCAGAAGTCAGAAGTGAAGAGGTTCGAAGGTATATTTAGAGAGCTACCTAAATGTCGAGAAGCGTTTCGTTTAAGCTAGCTAAAAGTCTAAAAGGATGTGTAGCACTACGTACCGAATCGTGATGTGATGCGGATGTGTGGCCGAGATGAGTGCAATAAAATTAATGAGGTCAGCACCAATGTAGAGGAATTATGGGACTATTCTTGTTTCTGGAAACTTTCATTCACACAAGCAGAATAAGAAAATATTTCAACACATCCTCAATCGAGGCTCAAAATATATACAACGCATTAGGATCTGGCTTTGTAAGGAAAGTTTTAAATTGACCGGTCTTTATCTATGGGAATAAAATGAATGTAGATGTAGTCGAATACCCTTCAGAATTCTAACACTAATAGTCTTCTTTTAGTCCAGTTCGGAATCAAAATTTTCGGAAAATACACAGAAATTGTAGAAGAAACTTGTAGAGTTGAGAGTTGGAACATGTCATGTGGTGAGACCATAATTTATGGATGATCTTTGAGCCTATTATCTTATACCTCTTTGGTTCGTCCTTAAATTAGTCTCGTTTCCCATGCACGTAACAAGTGGTCAGCTCTGGTAGTTTTAAGAAATCCTTAGGTGATCTTAACAGCCCGACTGATATCCTGTAAGCAGAAATATTATATTTTCCCTAATAACTAAGGATTGTCACTCTAATTTACTGATTCCTTCCATATTTCAGTTTATTTTGTAACTGTAGGATTTTTTTTCGACGCACTAGGGATTTATTCTCAGTTGCAATTTAAGCTGGTTTAGCGAATTCTTCAATCATGTTTTTTTTGTTTTAACCATTAGAACAGATGTCGTCAAAGCGCAATATTTCAGAATTGTTTCGTTATGCGTTACCTTAAGAATTTGGGAGGCGTCGTCAAATGCAGAACTATCCCGTTTTGTTGTGAAAACAATGAACTTTTCACTGTTGTGCCTAAAAAGAAAAACGTCCTCCCTCTAAAACCTATTGTAAAGTCTCCGCATAGTCTACTTCGATCACTTCCGAGATCCCCGTACACTTCATGCAATTGCAGTTTATCTGGTAATATATATTCTCCTAAAAAGTATTTGTATTAGCTCCAATGCAGATCCGATTTGTGCACACGGACGTTACAAATGTTCCTGATTTCACGAAATACCGCCTAGAGTCTACTAAAGACCCTCATTCACGGGCTGCTGACAGCGAAGTGCATCGCAAGATATTCTCTTATACGATGATGTTTGGTGAGTGCCTTTCAATGCCATTTAGGACAGATATCTAGGTCGCTGGTGCATCCTCGAAGTCGTACTATTTCGTTTTATTCTCGCATTTCTTGGGACTTGTTCTCCGTGTAATTCGGAAATGCGTCATTCGGCCTCACAGTCTGAGATGTTACCACTGAGTTCTTTAGACCGCCCAACAAGCTATGAGCACATTTAGGTTGGAGCGGTCTTTCACACTAGCACTCAGTGATCGTCTACCATATATGTCGTAGTTCATTACGCCAGTCCTTGGTGTGTACCTCTTTCCCGAGGTGTTTAGTAGTAGATTTTATTAAAATTCCGAGTTTTTGAGCATCCGGGTATGTCACCTTCATAAGTCAAGTTACATAAAATAACATCTTCATAGCTTGGCCATTATAAATTAGCTTCCTGAGACCAAAAATGGAGAGGCTTTATTGGCTACAGGGGAATCTCAACGTCGGTAATGTAGACTATTTGTATATTGCCCAATGATTAGTGTTGATAGTGTATGAACTCATCAATCCACTTAAGTACAGTTCAGGAGGCTTTTATGGGTCAGCTGCTTCTTACTTGAGTTAATATGCTCAGTTCATTACTTGAACATCATTTTGACTTTGGTAGCTCAGAAACATTTTAGCCACTTCATAACATAATTTTTGTGTAGTCCGCCGCAACTGACTTGCTATATTTATATGGGCTGAATTATTTCTGTTTTATTCTGTAAAAGGTACTCAATTAGTTGCGTAAACAATCTTATCGGTCTCATTATTTCAGCGACTGCGATGATTGCCACTACATCAGCCAAGTACACCGTTAGAATGTTCATTGAACCTCTGGGACCTTCCTCTAAAACTATGGCGGAGGCCTCCACGGAAGTCAATTTGGCTTCCATCCCTGAAGGAAAAAATATTACAGTCAAATGGCGAAACAAACCTCTTTTTATTCGCCATAGATCAGCGGAAGAAATTGCCCGCGAACGCGCTGTGCCTCTGGAAAGCTTAAGAGATCCTCAGCTCGATCAAGATCGTGTCAAAGTAGATAAGTGGCTAATTTGTTTGGGCGTATGTACACATTTAGGTAAGCATAAAACTTATTATATGGTTAATACTTCGTTTCCTTAATTTTCATCAGATCTCACTGTTGGGACAGTATAAGCCTTTTTTACTTTAATCTATGTTGGTAGTTATTTATAGGCTCACTAAGTTCACTCATTTAATTTCCACTATAAGCTGCAGAAATGAATGTTATCAATCTTATATGTCATCCACTTAAAGTATTCACTGCTGCTGTGTTAACTCTCATGAAAACAGCAATAGTGTAGAAATAAAGGTGACGTGTACTTTTGTCTTTTTTGCTTTGTCCATGAAATGATTATTTTGTCTGAGAGCTATTTCCAACCCTTAAACATTATTTAGCTGCCTTATGACAAGGTTGTATGGGTTACTACATCGGTTAGAGAATACGATTTCAAACGGAATCTCTGAAAACGACAACCGTTACTTTAGATTGGAAGGCAACAGTTCGGTAAACGATTTGAAATCGGATATAAGAAACATCCTACATGCGACTACTGACCACTATGACAATGTAAAAGTGGCAGAGCAAAGCGACAAAAATAACCTGTGACAAAATATTTATTCCCGATAACATTCATCTGGTTGCATCGTTATTGAGTGGTCTCTACAAGTAACTTATCTACATTTGATAGAACACAAGATGCTACACAAACGTAGTCACAATCCATGATAAGATTTGGTGCCATTTATCGTGCGATATCTTCATTTTTCCAATTATGCAATGTTCGTTTGTATTCATTAGACAGTAGTTGCTTAGTAGTTCGTCTTGTACTAATGAATCGATGGCAACTTAACAATAGTTCCTTTATATTGTTCAGGATTCTTGTCAGAAACCATAAATAAGTCCTGTGCTTGATTTATCAAGCACTCAAACTGGAATGTCGAGTTCACGGGCTAATGTCTAATTATAAAAGAATTTTCAGCCTGGTAACTGTCAGCCAGTACTTGTATATGAATGGTAAGTAACGAAAATTATTTCTGTAAAACGGTCAACTGACTTGGTGTTGGGAAAGGTGAATCAAACGACGCAAGTAAGGGCACAAAGATGTTGGATAAGAATTTATTTGACTCCTTGAAATAATATATGAACACCCTGTATTTTGTGTAATTTGTGTACAGTCAGATTTGTATAAAGTGAATTGAGTAATTAACATCAATTAGTCAATAACTCACTATGTGAACGTGTTTCCAATATAATGTTATTAATCATCTTTAACCAACAGATATTTATATTTTATTGTTTATTTAAACACATAGATATTGGTACAAGGAGGCACCAAATACATATGAGCCACAAAAATCTCATTTGATATGTGTGAGGGTTGTGATATTGCGCGGGTGCCCAAACCGAAGCAGGTGGTTTTCTTAAGAGGCCACACCCCGAGCCTTCGACCTAAAAGTCTGGTCCATAAAGCAGTGGAGCATCGTAAGAAGATGCAGTCCCATGATAGCCGGTGACCAACAATTGGTCCGTGCTCCATTTGTTCCTTCAGGATCCTGGAGCCCATGTGCACCATTGGTTTGGAATCGGGGTTTTCCAACTTCCCTAGGTGGACTCTCCATGTCCAATAACCTGGTTAAAGCACCGGACCAACATATATAATTTGCTAAGTTATATAGCTACTCAAAATGTGACTACATTGCACAGACGATTGGTGAAAAATGAATTAAATGTTATTTGCACTCAAATTGACTAAGTTATTGCTCCCCACATCACGTTCCCTGACGAAATTTTATGGGATCCTTATGTGATAGCATTGGAGCAATGGTGGTACTTCTTACTTGTTTGGTATTTACTTTTGTTTTTATAGAAACCATTTTTTTGTTTCGCTCACAGACTGGAGTTTCACTATTGGTGTTATGTTTAAGATATTCGTTCCTGATTGTTCATTACGCCCAAACTTTTAAGATCGATTCCTCTCACTGAACAGATTACTTGTCATATAAATTGACTTATAGCGATTAATTGCCATAAACTCAGCTAAAGATTGTGAAATTAAGACTAAATGTGTTGAACTTAAAATGAGGAGTATTTCGGAAAATTTTGACTGCGATGTCTTGGCTGAATTTGAACCGGTAGTGGCTAAAAAACTTTCCACAGACCCTGTTGTTTTACTTCCTCCAACTTTATATTTATGTAAACTAAGATTTTCATTTAGGGCGTCTTCTTCCTGACGTGTATTTGATTCTGGGTAGATAATTTTGGAGTGGAGGAGTAGGAAATCTTTCATCTTCAAACGTTTTCCAAGATCCTCAGGAAGTAATCTGGGATGTCGTCTTTGCAATATGTTGATTAACTTTGTTAGACCTTTTCATGATTCTACTTGAACTCCATGAGATATGAAAACATTCAATACCTGCCATAACGACATCAGGAATGTGAACTGGATGTGACTCATTTAAGTTATAATTCTCACATTGATTAGAAAATTCACTGAAAAAGGAATTGCGAAGACAAGCAACTAATATGACACCAAAAGCTTAGAATTTGATTTATTTGAAACATTCTTCTCAATTATTTTGAATTTCACTCGACATGATCGGGTCATTAGAATGAATGGAATCTGATGCAGAACATTTGAACATGGTCCAGAGTTTACCTAATCAGGGACTTTGTTGACCTTCCCCTACCATAGATTTGTTCTTTACTTCAATAAGAATATAAATAAATATATTTGATTTTTCAGCGTGGTTTCGGATTTGATTGTTGGAGCACATATTCTTTCAATGCGCCGATGAGCAGTAACAGATCTACTAAACACACCTTCATTATGTTGGAGGATCGGTTTTGTTTGCGCGACTGAAATCAATGTTGTTAGACTTGTCTGCGTCGTATATTACAGTAGCGACTTCAAAAACGACTGGTTTTAACTGAAAGCTGGATTCGAGGAGTAATCCAGTCAACCATCAGAAGGAATAGAGTAAGTAGCTTTGTCGAACTCGGTCCTTACTGGGAATGCGTCTATCGACTGTCCTCCATGTACGACTCTGCAGTGTGGTCCGTAATATGAATTCCGTATGATATTGACCATCTCAGGTACACCATTATGTCGAAGAAGGTTCCACAAGGTTCTTCTATCCACACTGTCAAGCACCTCATAGTCAAGGAAGTTGATGTATAGTGACGAATTCCATACAATTGATTGTTCAACGACGATCCATATTGTCGCGATTTGATCTGTACACAATCAATCCTTACGTAATCCGGTCTGTTGATCTCGAAGTTGGGCGTTTATTGAGTCTTCCATCCGGTTCAGCAACACTGTTGGAAACTTCTCCTGGTACTGATAGTAGTGTGATGCCTCCATAGTTCTCACATTTTCTCAGATCATTCTTTGGTATCTTGATGGGGTATCCTTCTTCCCAGTCTGTCGGCACTTAATCCTCCTCCTAAATCTTCCTGAACAAAACGTGGAGCATGTTCGCAATTGCTTCCATGTCTGACTTCAGTGCTTTAGCTGGTATATTGTCAGGACCTGCTGCTTCCCCACACTTGATTTGTCTGGTAACCATCGTGATTTCTTCGATCGTTGGTGGAGTGATATGTATGGGAAGGTTTATAGGTGCCGATGGATTCCGTGGAACTGGCTTATTCAATAGTTCCTCAAAGTGATTTACCCATCTTTCGCTTTGTTCTTGAGTCTCAGTGATTGGCTTGCCTTCTTTGTTCTTGACTGGTCTCTGGCTTACTATATTTCTCTGATAGTTTCTTCGTTGTGTCATATAGTTGTTTCATATTTCCTTCTGCAGCTTTATCCGCTGTCGTTGTTAGGTCCTCTGTGCATTTCTGCTTGTCAGCTCTAATATTGCTCTCCACTTTCATGTTTGATTGTGCTTGTGCGTTGAATTTCTCTGCTCTTGTTCGGCTGTTGTCAGTCGATGTCTTCCTGTTCTTCCTTTCTTGAATATTGTCCAGGATTTCAATGGAGATCCATTTCTTGTGATGATGATTCTTTCGGTCCAGGACCTCCTGACATGTTAAAGTTAGTGCTTCTTCGGTCTTTTTCCAATTATCCTCCATAGTAGTTTCTTCTATGAGTCTATCTTGTAATGCTTGAAACTTGTTGCTGAGATCTATCTTGAATTCGTTGAGCTTGTCAGAGTCTCGAAGAAAGTCTGCATTCAATCTTTGTAATGCTGTTTACCCAGTTGTCCAGTGCTTCTTTAGCTTCAGATTCATCTTGGCAAACACCAGTTGGTGGTGATCTGAAGCTATGTCATCTCTCTTGGTTCTCACGTCTTCCATTGACCTTCTGAATTTTCTAGTGATGCAAATATGATCGATTTGATTCCCTGTAGTGTGTCCCGGTGATACCCATGTAGCTTTGTGTATGTGTTTGCGGGGGAATATAGTGCCATATATAACCACTTTGTTGAATGCACATAAAATTGTAAATCTGTCACCATCCTCGTTCCTTTCTGCTGGTCCATGTCGTCTCATGATATCTTCATAACCGATGTTGTCCATTCCGACTTTGACGTTTACTTCTCCCATAAGGATGGTCAGGTCCTTTCCTGAGCACTTGGCTATGATTGGTTGTAGCCTCTCATGAGACTGATTTTTATCGTCTTCATTGCCATCATTGATGGGTGCGCAACGTTGGATAACATTTAGTGTGATTTCCTCCCTCTTTGTTTTGAAGGATGCTTTGATGGTTCTGAGTCCATGAGATTCTTATCCGATAAGCGCTTTTAGTGCTTCTTTGGACAGCATCAGTGCAACTTTCTGAATGTACAGAACATTTTCTTCTTCGTGACCAGAGTAGAACGGTAACTCTCGAATCTAATTTTTCCCGTCAAATTTGGGTCCAATGTGTTTCAATCATTCTGAGCTTCACCAAATATCTCCTTATTTCCGTAACTATTTGATTGGTCACTTCAGTCTCCCTCATTGTCTGGACATTCTACGCACCTATATTCACTGTTGGTTTGGTGCTTATAAAGGGTATGGGCCTCATGACTTTCGAAGTATCAGCTTTCACCATGAGGTATCATAATTCTTCTTAATAAAGATCACTTCTCTCCCAGAACAGAGTTTAAATGGGTAAATCTGTTTTGTTCTAGTCAGCGTTTTTAGGAAGTTGATTTCTACGGGATGGGGTTGCTATCCCCATGCTCAACCTTCCTCCTATTTGTGGACTTCAGACCTGCAGTAACCCTTGAATAGCTAAAATCGGAGTTTCACTATAACAAGCTTGACTGAAAATGTAGAAACCTATGACTTTTCTTCAATCTTGGGATCCTTGATTCCTACATATCAAATGAAATCTGTGTGGCGCATATGTATTTGGTACCTCTTTGTACCAATATCTGTGTTATATTAAATTGAAATAAAATAAATGGGGTCTTTGATTAAATTGAGAAACAAGTCGTATCATTTCCACATGCACCCGAATCATTGTTCCCTTAGACAATTTTTGTTGGATTGTATCTACATGGTGACGTCTAGATTACCTAAGACTGAGTGTAACATTAATTTACTCTTATGTGCTGTGGTAATACCAGCCCATATACATTTGTCTTGATTTCCACACTTTTTAAATTGATACGTTGCGTCCAACATTTTAATCAACTGGTTTGAAAGTTCTTACCTGTGATTTCTCAAATAATTAAGTATCAGCTAAATATAGTGTTAACCGTTAAAGTGCTGAGTTTCAATAATGAATTCTTTCCAACTATTGTTTGGTAGGCATTTGATGGTAAGATTATAACAAGGTTTGAAGTATCTTCAATGTCTTTACTTTAAAGGTGTTGCTGGGAAAAATATGACTGGTGTGACGATTAAAGTACTTTGTCGTTCCCTCGTTCATCGACTACAAAATATTACTTTTTACATTTCTTGACTTGTAGGCTTGTATGTAACACACATGCCATCTAAGTAAAAATTAGATAGTGTTCATCTGAAATATTTTCATGATATTCACGTATCTTGGTATGCGAGTATCACTGAAGAATTATTGCTCTAATATGATTTGTTCATAACATCGATGTGGTTCCAATGTGTGATAATGTTGTTGAGATTTGCCTTATGATGTAACATTTATTGTACAAACTGTTAAGTATAGAAATTGGTTTTCTGTTTAGAATTGCGATTATCGTAGTATTCCCTCACATACTTGACAATCACTATACCCATGGTTGATTAGGGTTATAATAGAAAAATAGTATAGAGTGGGATGAGAGTGAACTACTATGACACATTATTAAAAGGAGCCATAGTGAAGCATCATGTAAGGTTTTATGGACTTCCTTATTATTTTGCTGTAATTATGTTAGTAAACACGTTGCCTCATGTGTTGTGCGTTTGGACTCATGTATTGTAATTGCTAACCTTTCTTCTACAGGTTGTGTTCCAGTAGCACACGCCGGCGATTTCCCCGGAGGTTATTTCTGTCCTTGTCACGGTAGTCATTACGATGCATCTGGTCGTATAAGAAAAGGCCCCGCTCCTCTTAATTTGGAAGTACCTCAGTACAAGTTTGTGGATGAAAATACCGTCATTGTGGGATAAAACGGTGATTCGATCTCCTTGTTCGGAACACTAATTATAGCGATATCTCCCTTTTTCATAACAGAGGATGCTTCTGATTTCTATTGAGTGTATTTTGAGAAGTACTAACTTATCTTTTCGTCTCACTGTTAGAAGTTACATTTTCAAATATTAGTTTATCTCCACGCTCTTCATGTTTATTTCAAAAATATATTTCTGAGCTTAGATGACAGTATTAGTGAAATCGTCGATGTACTTATTAGTTAGCCTTTATCTGACATTCCTCGAAGTCTGCTTGTGTTCAGGTAGAAGTTTTGCGTGTGGTGTTCGGAAAAAAAATCTGCGAATAAGTCATTCAGTTCGGATGATGAAATCTTGCAGAAATAATCCACTTGAGCTACAAATCTTCATCTCAGGAGAGATCATTTTTATAAACTCATACTAGGTACAGACTCGTGTGTTTCGAGCCACATGTTACGTGTGAGGGTTGGTGATACCAACTGGTTGCCCAAACCTACGTAGGTGAAGTGAGGTTTGAATCCGCAACTTTGTGGCTACAAGCCAAATGCCTTGATCTTTAAGTCACCGCTCCACTAGCCACATAGTTTTCTTTTATTGTTAGTTGAGTACATAATTTATTCTTATTGTGGTGAAATGGGTGAGAATATATATCTTTTACAATCCATTAATACATGAACCAACCCTCGATGAACACTTGAATACGTTGCATACTTATTTCCAATTATTCCGATATTGATGCATTCGATGGGTGTGTATTCAATGATAACTGCCCAATCCCATGTACGACATGATTTCTGGGACTCTCAAGTGTGATAACGTTAAACCTAATTGACTAATTTAATTAAAAAGCATGTGCTTTCAGGTTGTAGTGGCTTGTTAATTACTGAAACCAAGTCTTGATCCTGTAGTTACCCCTCGTACTTAGAAACAGTGGGTAAATAATGTTGAAAACCGATTCTACAAAACTTCCATGAACTTTTGAAGGTGAAATATTATAGTTTCTCATTCAGATGACTGAAGAGTATGTGAGCATATAAATTTCTAGGTAACGTGATGTACCTTATTTACATTTTCCCTGGCCAATCTGGTTGTAAAATACTTCATTAAGTTCCTCTGAGGAGAATAAATGATATTACGTCTTTATTGTACAGACGAAAAACTAGGCCATCTAATCTATTCCCGACTTCAAGTGCATAAATTCTGGGGTAATTGTTTGATTTATTTTTCTTGATAGTGTTGTAATATGAAGATAACAAAGAGAGCTAAATATGTGTAGCGTTGCAACTATCTGGCTGTATTTATCCCAATTAGCTTGAACTTGTTTGTTTTACGCGATAAAAGTATAAATTTTGTGAAAAGTTAGGTTTCCAATACGTGACACAAAATTCATCTATGAATAAAGACGTTCGCTTGGTTAGTTTCCTGTGAAATATTCTTTATATCACTGCATATTCCTTAAGTGTTGTGAGGAATTAATACCCGTTTGCTACTATTAAGCCATTCATCTCTAACGACCTTGCTTCTGACGGATTTTATTATTCTTATGTTCACGTTTGTTTCTACGAAGGTTTCGCTCATTCGACTTCTGACCGTGTGACTGGTTGACCTTTTCTGCGTGGATTGCCTAATTGGATGTTTGTGTCCTCTGTCTGACCTAAATCAGTCAGTCAGTAACAACGTAGAACTTCGTACGTACGTACATCAGTTCGAGTTGCCACACCACATTAGCACAGAGATGCAGTTGTCGATTCAAATCCCATAGTGGTAGAGGTAATAAGAGTATAAGCAGTAATCGGGAAGATTAGGGTTTGGAGATGTTATTTAAAGAGTATAATCCAGTGAAATAAATTTGGAAAGAGGAAAAAAGGGACATGGAGAATTCAGAAGATTAGAATTGGGGAGAACACAAAGAGTGGATGCACCTGCGCCATTGCAAACGATTTTGAGCCATGTCATTCAGGGTCTCTAACCATCGGTTGCTATCATCTCGCGGTCCCCAACCAGGTAGCCTACACCTACCAACATGACTCAGTTCACTTGTCAGTGACTTCATGGACTTATGCCATGTTTTGGTTTGGCCACCCCTAGCTTTCTTCCAGCCTACTCCTATACCACTGAACATAGCACGTCGAGGCAGTCAGTCGTTGGGCATACGTAACACGTGTCCCAGCCATCTCAACTGATGACGTTTCACTACTTCATCAATTGATTTGCCATCCTTACCTAGTACCCGTTTCCTAACAACTGTGCTACTTACTCGATGGTCCCATGATATACGAGCAATGTTTCGAAGACACCTATGATCAAATACTAGTAGCCTACGGATATCCTCTACTCTTACCGACCATGTTTCACTGCCATAAAGTAGGACGGAACGAACTGCTGCGCAGTAAACACGTCCTTTGGTTGATAGACGGATATCTCGCCTACGCCATAAATGATGCAAAGCCCCAATGATGGGCAAAAGCAATAACGAATACTGGACAGTTAATCCACACAGATCAAAGAACTCATCAGCATACCTATATGTATGTTCAGAGAGAGGATGAGGAACTAAAGTTTGTCTGGAGTACATTTACTGAATTTTGAGGAAAGCTACTTAGGAGTAATCGAACCAAGCACTAACTAGGAATTCCCAAAATAGTGCAAGTTAAGCCAGGTAGAACTATATAAACACAAGCGGACGTATTGTATTTGGGATTCGTAATAAGCGGAGATCAAGTACAAATGAATCATTAGTTCATACAAATACAAAAGGGGTGATGTGTCCAAATGGTTAGATCCCTTCTCTAATTAACTTCACGGGAGCATAAGTGTAAAGTTCGCATCACGTTACAATTTGTACCATTTCGACCGAAAAGAAGTCATCAGAAGATAAACTCCGTAACAGAAAGAATGCCAACGATGAGATATCTGTGAAATAATCAGTGTATGTCTTAATGGGAAGTGAAGTGAATAGTATATCAATATGAATTCAGGTGAAGGTAAAAATTGAATACACATGTACCGTTGTGATGAAATTTAAGTCAGGAGATTCTAGCTGATTCCATAATAACATTAGATGTAGCTTCAACCAAGTGCAAGTTCAAGTAGTTGGCTTTACTCCACGCTTTATTTTGTAATCTGCGATATTGGTTGGGTACCAAAATTTATGTAGACGGGATGTGGTTTGGATTTTTAACACATTATTATAAACTAGAGTCCTTTGACAATTGCTATCTTCGAATACTGATGCCTATCATCTTGAGGACATCAAACAAAAAAATATAACCATCCCAGCTAAATATATAAGCTGGTCCTGTTTCTCATAACCACTGAAGGTGCCACAGGTATTTGAAGTTTGACAACGTATTAACCATTAAAACCGATGCGGTCAGCGTCCAATGTTGTGGACGTACAGAGCTATTTACTTACCGCTACAGATCACTACCCCCTTGTAGGGTAATGATGACCTTAGGACGTGGCCAGCCAGAAGTTAAAACCCAACGAGTTTGTCTTTGGTAAACACTTCTGATAGCTTGCTATGCTTAGCAGCGTCTGGTCGTCTTTCCTTAATATATTACAATGAAAATTTCGGTTCCTCAGAAACGTCATCGTTTTCTTATCGTCTCTTCCAGCCGTCCTGTAAAAAATATGTAAGTGCATGTCGAAATACACTCGTACGCGCTGGCGAAAAAAAGAAAAGAAATTCATACACATGCGGTAGCGTAAAAGCGATTTTTAAAGAATTTCTTGCGTTTTTATAAAGAAAAAAATTAAATAAACACATATAAGCAGAAAATTTTTAAATAAATATATAAGTATATACGTATCAAGTTTTTTATCATATGTAATACACAAGAAAATCGAGATAAACCAAACTGTTAATTGATGTCTTACGTGCAATAATCGTTTAAATGTTCTGGATTTTCACATAGAAATCCTTTAACTAGTATTTCAATTGTAGTCTAACAGTTTTAGCCTCCTTAATCACTTAATGTCCAAAAGTGTTATCGATCGACAAAGTCCGAGTAGCGGAAATAAATCCCCATAATCAATAGTTCTGTTAATCTTCGACATTTGATGCTGACATCATTAGTTTTAATGGACTCACCTAGCTGAAGGCGCTCGGTCACCCATTCGCAGCAAATCACGATTAGGTTCTCCGTGCTACACATCTACAGCCACTAAGCTTAAATTAACCACTCCTCAATATTGATATTCTATCAGATATGTCTTCGAACCTCTTCACTTTTGATTTGGCTAAGTTGGTATTCTTTGAATATAAAGGTATTACTGGTTAAGGCGCTATCAGTTCCGAATACTTGTAGCCTCTTTATCTGTCTTGAACGTAGTACCTAAACACAACACTCTCCACTCATGTGATCAGTTGAAAAATACTTTAAAGATGTGAAGAATATGTATAATAAATACAACTTAATCCTTAACAACTATGTCAAGAAATAGGTTTTATCTCAGCGTACGGTTACCTGGCTTTCATAACCCATGATAGTTACTAGACAAATCATAAACTCCTTAGGTACAATAGGCTGGCAGGTCCTCAAACTGGCTACTTGTTCACTTGCGTTAATGTTTCTCACCAAATATGTATTTATTTGTTTAAACACATAAATCCTTGTACAAAGGGGCACCAAAACGTTTGTGCCTCAGTGAGAAAGTGAAGAGATAGAGGAAGGGAAATGAGTATAATCAAAAAATATCATATGATTAAAAATCCGTGAATGAGAGTAAAATAGTGGTTGGAAAAGCAGTCCATGAGAAGAAAGACAACCAAGAAAAACTCTCTTGGTTACCGAAGTCCCACTCACTTATGAAAAAAAAGAAAACTACAGCAGGACCGCCACTGGCTTCTGTGATGAGTCATGTCCGATAACGTTTCAGGCCATTGAGTTACACTGTCTTTAGGACTCCGACCAGGGGGTCGTACAGAACCCTTGGATGTCAGATATTTTTGTTCCAGTACCCTTAGTAATCTTACTTACTTACTTACTTACGCCTGTTACTCCTAATGGAGCATAGGCTGCCGACCAGCATTCTCCAACCCACTCTCTCCTGCTTAGTAATCTGACCACCTCTTTTTGCAACCTATCCAAATGTCAGCGGATAACACAACCTAGAACTGGTTGGGGTGACATTCGTTGCACAGGTTCAAGCCATTGCAGTCGGTGTTTCAAGATAGTGACATCGACCGAGCTGTTGCCACTA